GCTAGAATGGTAATTCGTCATTACTTTTGATTTTTTTCCTAAAAGAGAGGTTACATATATATTTTTGGTTTTTAATTCTCTAATTGTGTCTTTTAAACATATTTCTATCATTTTTTTCCTCCTTTATTTGAAAAAGTTCTATGTATAATTATGGGCATTAATACTTTGTCTGACGTCGCAAATCATTTCCCATGTCGCAGATTTGCAACATGGCTTTTACTTATTTACGGTATTGTTTTGAATGTAAGATCTTTAGCTTTATGTAGTCAAATCGATCACTACTGAGAAACTCTACTGCTCAGTAATGAGGGTCATTGCTTTGGAGTCAGAAAGACCAAAGTTCAAATCCTGCCTCTACCCGTTATTAGCTGTGTGACTTTGGCGCATCATGTTACCTCTCAGAGCCATAGGTTTCTCATCCGTAAAATAGTCACAGCAATGCCAAACCTTTTAGGATTGTTAACAGGTTGTGTGAGATAATGCACGTAGAGTACTTATCTCACAGCAGGTACACAATAAGTGCTCAGTGAATGGCAGCTTTCTATGGTTTTGATGACTTTCTGCCTAGTCTTTTTCAAGCTTAGAGAGTTCTCCTTCACACCAAGGTTATAAAAATATTTACCTACATTTTCTTTAAACAAATCTCTGTTTTCACAATCCAACCCTCCCCCACTGATTTGAAATGTTAGCTTTATCAAATCTTTTTCTCTTATATGTTCTTGAATTAACACTCTTTTAGTTATTGTAGTTTTTATTGTACTTTTTAATATTGGTAGGCCACACCCCTCTCCCACTCATCTTATTCAAATCCTTTTTGCTATACTTTCTTTTTACTCTTTTGAAGGAACTTTAAGGTCGTTTTTATCTCGATTGGCATTTTTGTCAGACTGGCGAAAAATGTATGGGAAATTAAATTTCAAGCTTTTAATTCAGAAACAGTATGTCTCTCCCTTTATTTATGTTTTCTTTCATCATTCTCAGCAAAGTTTTGAGTCTTTCTTCCACATTGCCCTGCAGACTGCTGGTTAAGCCATTTCCTAGCAATTTTACACTGATTACTGTTATATATCAGATCTTCTATTTAATTATGTATTCTATCTTATTTTCACTGGAATTTAAGGAAGTACACCCACTCCTATTATCTGCAAATATTTATTTTTACATTTTTCTCTTTTAATCTCATTTCATTATCAGAAACATCTGGCACAATGTTAAATTGGCGTGATATTAGCAGGCATTCCCTCTTCTCAAATTAAAGGAGACTAACTCTAGCATTTCTCTTTTAAGTCTAAGATAGACACTATTGTGAAATATTCTTTATAGTGTCAACTCTTTTCTTCCTAAAGTTTATAGAAACTTTAAAAAATTGGGAATGGACAGGGAATTTTTTTTAATGCCATTTCTGCCTGTAGTAAGATGATCATGTAGTTTATCTCCTTGGATCCACAAATGTGATAACTTATACTAATATATTTTAATGCTCTACAAACCTTGAATTCCTGGAATGAACCCCATTTGGTCATGAAGAATTATTCTTTTAAGATACCTATTTATTCCTGGCATAGAAGAGGCTTAGAAGTTGCCACTCTATCCTAACAACAAGTAAAAATCTGAACAAACTGAAAAAATCAGCTAATTTTCCTAGATCCATAAAAAAAAGTGAGGTCACACAGCAAACCACTGCCCCTAAAATTGGAGAGACAGACAGGTGGATACAGAGAATCACAACTTAGCAGAGCAGAAACCCACAGCTGGGGTAGGAAAATTTGAACTGTAACTGGTGAATTACTAGAAGCTCAATGTGGACAAATTTGAGAGTTAAAAACTCCAGGAGGACCCAGTCATAGGTGGGCCTCCCACACATTCGTGAGTTTACCTCCAGGAGCTCTACCAGGCTTCACCGTCAATATCTCAGAAAAACCCCCTCCTGCTTCCAGCAAAGTGAGGGGGAAAGGAACTATTCTTAAAAAAACAGCAGAGCATTCTGTTCTTAACAAGGTCTGCCCTCAGGAGAAACTATTTAAACTGAGGCTAACCTATTGGGGTTTTTATCCAAACCCAGCCTACTTGGAGAAAGAGAAATACCCAACTCCAACTGCAGCTGGCTCTAGGCTTCCACGTGGGGGAAGGGAAACACATAACCTCAATCCTCTCTAGCCACCCTGTCCCACCAAAGGTGGGGGGAACTGAGAAGCACTGGTGAAGTTCACAGTCTAAGGGCACAGGCTCACCAAAAGACTGAAACCTCATCGTAGAACAACAGAACGCTTCCCCTCCTCCTACAACTTACAACTACATTACTAAAGGCCTGTTTACCACACTTCCTTATATCCAATACATCATGTCTGCCTTTGAACAAAAAGTTACAAGACATACTAAGAGACAAAACATACGGTTGGAAGGGAACGAGCATCGGAACCAGAGCTGGAGTATAGCAGGAATGTTGGAATTTTCAGACAGGAAATGTTTTAAAACTATGACTCATATGCTAAGGGCTTGAATGGAAAAATTAGGTAACATGCAAGAAGAGATGGATAATGTAAGCAGAGAGATGGAAATTCCAAGAAAGAATAGAAAAGAAATGCTAGAGATCAAAATGAAGACTGTCTTTGATGGGCTCATTCGTAGAGTGGACATGGCTGAGGAAAGAATCTCTGAGCTTGTGGATATGACGATAGAGACTTCTAAAATGGAAAAGCAAAGAGAATAAAAAGCCTGAGAAAAACAGAACAGGATGTCCAAGAACTGTGGGACAACTACAAGAACTATAACATGCATGTAATGAAGAAGAGAGAGAGAAACAGAAGCAATATTTGAAGGAATAATGCTTGAGAATTTCCCCAAATTAATGTCAGACACTAAACCATAGATCCAGGAAACTCAGAGAACATGAAGCAGGATAAATGCCCAAAAACCCATTAAAAAACAACAGCGAGAAAAAAATGACACCTAGGCATACTATATTCAAACTACAGAAAATCGAAGATGAAAAAAGAAGTCGGAAGAAAAAAACTCCTTACCTATAGAGAAGCAAATATAACAATTACATCTGACTTCTCAGAAATCATGCAAGCAAGAAGAGAATGAAGTGAAATATTTAAAGCATTGAGAGAAACATTCCACTAACTTAGAATTCTTTAGTCTGCAATATTATCCTTCAAAAGTGAAGGAGAAATACTTTTTCAGACAAACAAAAATTGAGGGAGTTTATTGCCAGTAGACCTGCCTTACAAGAAATGTTAAAAGAAGTTCTTTAGAGAAAAGGAAAATGATATAGGTCAGAAACCCACTGGGATCTGCATAAAGAAAGGAAGAATATCTGAGAATGAATAAGTGAAGGTAAAATAAAAACATTTATTTTTCTTATTCTTAATTGACCTAACAGTTTACAGTTCAAAATAATAATAGCAACAATGTATTTGATTATGTATGCTATGTATACATGTATGCTTATATATGCTTACATATAAGTGAAATGAATGACAGCAATGATACAAAGGATGAGAGGGAGAAATTAGGAGTATTTTTTTTATTATAAGGTTCTTGCATTACCCATGAAGTAGGATACTGTTATTTGAAAGTGGACTTGGATTAGTTGTAAGTGTATATTGCAAACTCTAGGACACACTAAAAAAAGTCAAAAAAGGAGAACTGATATGCTAAGAAAGGAGAGAGAATGGAATCATATAAAATGCTCAGTTAAAACCACAAAAGACAGAAAAGAGCAGATGACAAAAATAGGAACAAAGAACAAGGGCAACAAATAAGAAACTGTAATGAATATAGTAGATATTAATCCAAATACATCAATAATCACCTTAAACATCAATGGTCTAAATATACCAATTAAAAGACAGAGATTGTCAGAGAGCATCAAAAAACAAGACCCAACTATATGTTGTCTACAAAACATCCACATTAAATATAAAAAAGACACATATATATTAAAAGTAAAGGGATGAGGAAAGATATACCATGCTAACACTAATCAAAAGGAAGCAGGAGTAGCTATATTAATTTTAGACAGAGTAGACTTTAGAGCAAGGAAAGTGTTGAGGGATAAAGAGGGGCATTACATGATGATAAGGGGGTCAATTCTCCAAGAAGACATAATCCTTAACATGTATGCACCTGACTAATAACAGAGCATCAAAATACATGAGGCAAAAACTAATAGACCTGCAGGGGGAAATAGATGAGAACTTGGAATTTTAAGGACAGCGTTCAAGAAGTCGCAAAATAAAAGTAGCTTTTGGGGAAAGACGATCAAAATTATGGATGACCTTTACAGTGTGTGGGGTGGAGGTGGGGGGAACTGGGAAAACGTTTTGAGCTTCAAGAATGGTGCAATACCTAACTGAGCAAGTTCCTTATTTTTTTTTCACCTCTTACTATCTAGGAGGTAGACGATTTATATACTCTTTTACCCCCATTTTACAGCTAAGGAAACTGGGGCACCTGGTGACTAACGGACGTGCCTCAATCCGAGGTAGAGTTCGAGCGCACGCATACTGGCCCTGCTTGGTGACATGTCCCAGAGAGGAAACACGAGGGACAGAAGGAAGGGCGACGTTCCCTGCAAAGCCTTCTCTGGGCTCCCTGCCCCCTTGGGGCGCAGCGGCTGGGCCCGGGCAGCCCGCACGGGGGCGCTGTCGGCACGTGGTGCGGGATGGGGCTGCGAGCCCCGCCGTCAAGGGGACCTGGAGGCGGGCGCCAGGTGTCACCCGGCTGGGGCTGCAGGTGCAGCGTCCGGCCGCGGGGAGGCGGTGAGCCGGCGGGGCGGCTGCGAAGGGGCGGCTGCGAAGGGGCGCTGGGATGAGGCTAGGCGCGCGGGGGGCGCGGAGGAGGCGTAAGAAGTGGCGGAGCGGGGTCGCGCGGCGCTCGGGCCGCTC